AGCAGTCCTGTGCTCATTGGGGGGTGGATCGGCTGTCCTTGCTGTGTCCCACTGTTTTCCCTGTCCCCGCTGCCGCCCATGGTCCAAACACTTCCCATGGGGCGGGCCCTGCACTGGTCCCTTGTGTTGACTCACCGGCCTCTGAATGGCTCTGTTTTTTCACCTGTTCTGGGTCCTCGCTCCTGCGTGGGTCCACGTGAACCCTATTAGTGGTCTTGCTGTCCTGGGGACCACCAAGGCCCTCTTCTCCCCCACCACCTCCAAGTAACTCCATCTGAAGGGAGCAGCTGCGGCTTCTGCCAGCTCCTGCTCCATGCGCTCAGCCGCTCCACATTAAAGCAGCCACAGCCCAAAACACTCAGAGCAGTATTTTCTTTCTCTCATCGTAGTTTCTCCCACCTTCATGAACTCCATAGGTCTCTCCTCCTCTTCACCTGAGCTCTAGCGGCCCCGGCTTGGCTGATGTTACATTTTTATAGTTGTAAATTGGTTGATTTGTGGGAGAGAGTGACGCTGGGGACCGTCTATTCTGCCATCTTCAAATGTTTCCAGAATGTTAAAATATTATTGATCCTAAGGATGATTGTGCTGAGATGCTTGAGTACATGGCACTATGGCAGCTGATACACTGCTTATTACACATAATGTGTCCATTGGCATTAAAAAATAGCATTTTAAAGTTTAAGTTTTTTCAGATGACAGTTTATTCACATTATTAAAAAATAAAAAAATTATTTAAAAAGTATACAGTAAAGTGTCTTTTATTCCTAGTATCTATCTGCCCAGTTCCTCCACCATCATTTTATTAGTTTCCTATATATCCCTCTAGAGGGATATATATATATCTTTCCAGAGTTGCTTCATATAAGCAAATATGAAGAAGTGTTTCTATTATTTCTTCTTTCCCACAAAGGGCATAACAAATTTACTATTCTGCACAAAGATCTTAAAGATACATATATCTTATTGATATATATATCTTATCAATATATATATATATATATTGGCAGCTGGCCTGTATGGGGATCTGAACCTGTGACCTTGGGGTTTGTAAGGCTGTGCTCTAACCAACTGAACTAACTGGCTAAGATATTTTTATATAAGGCTGTGCTCTAACCAACTGAACTAACTGGCTAAGATATTTTTATATCAATAATACAGATCTTTATTTTTAAAATACAGTTACATAGTATTGCATTATGTGGAAGTACCATAATTTATTTAGCCTGTTCCCAAATGAAGTGCAGGAGGGTTGTTTCTGATGTTTTGTAGCTATTACAAATCGTGTTGCAATGAGTACCATTGTACATGCACCATTTTGTACCTGTACAGAAATATCATAGGATAAATTTCCAACAGCAGAATTGCTGGTCAAAGGGTATTAGCATTTGTAATTTTGCTAAATGTTGCCTAATTGCCTTTCATGGTGGTTGTACCAATTTGCTTTACCACCAGCAGTGTATGAGAGTCCTGCTGATTTATAACCAAGCGTGTTAATTAAATTTTTGGGTTTTTGCCAGTCAGATGAGGAAAAAATATTGTATTGGTGTGATTTAATTTGCTTTTCTCTTATGAGTGAGGCTGAGTATCTTTTCATTTCATTAAGAGCCACTTGTATTTTCTTTTATACGGATTATCTTTATATATTTTTTACTCAATTTTCTATTGGGTTGTTGGTCTTTTTTTTTTTTTTAACCATTTTATAGGAAATGGTTATGTGTTAGATAACTAACCCTTTGTCTGTGATGAGTTGCAAATATTTCACCTGTTTTGTCATTTATCTTTGCTTTGTTGTTGCTGTTTTTAACTTTGCTATAGTGTTTTACCCTGTGCAGAGCTGTTACGGCTTCTGCATTTGGAGCCATAAGCTACAGCAGTTCATTTCAAGATTATAATGAACTTTCTTCCATACTTTCTTTGTCATATGTATGGGTTCACTATTTACATTCAAAATCTTCCCTCCATTTGTAATTTATCCTGGCATATGGTATGAAGTATATTATCCCAACATCACTTACTGAATTTTCCCTTGCTGTTTTGGTCACATACTAAATTTCTCAAAGTATTTGGCTCTATTTATGGACATTCTATTATACATCTATTTATGCACTGACACCACATTGTTTTAATTATTGTGGGTTTGTAATGTGTTTTTGTATCTGATAAGGCTTTCTCTCCTTATTGCTCTGCTTTTACTCGGTTTTTCGGGCTTTTCTCTGTTTATGAGCTACAGAATTAGGTTATCTGGTTAAAAATAAATCTGTTAATATTTAAAATTTTTTTTATAACATTTCAAAATTAATTGGAAATATCTGACATATTTAAGATGTTAAGTTGTTTTATCCAAGAACATGATATGTCTTTCCATTTGTTCAAGCCATCTTTCAAATTTCTCAGTAGTGTTTTAAAGTTTTCTTCATTGAGTCTTACACATTTCCTGTTAAATTATTCTAAGATTTTTTTGTTGTTGTTACTATTCTAAATGGGATCTTTACTTCTTTTATGTATTCTAACTAGTTATTTTATACACATAATACTTAATAGATATCTATCAAGCATATTATATATATTATGTAAAATATATAAACAGATGTCTATACATCAATTTGGTACCCGATGTTTTTATTGAATCTCTTATCCTTTGTGACAAATTTTTAGTTGATTCTTATATTTCTAGGTGTACAATTATATTACTTGCAAACAGTATAGGTTTTGTCTTCTTGCAAGGTTTATGCTTCTAATATCCTTTTCTATTTTATTCAGTAATTTTACAAATATTTATTGACCTAGTATGGACAAGGCACTATTCTAGGCCCTCGGAACAGATCAGCCTATATTCCTTTCTCAGCACTTCTACACTAGTAGGGGAGATATACAATGAGCAATAAGCTGCTAAGTAAAATTTATAATATGCTGAGTATAACAAATGACTAGGAAAAAAAAAAAAAAACAACTCAGAGTGGAATAAAGGCATTGGGAACTACCAGAATAAGGGGCAGGCTGTAATTTTAGATGGGTTGATCATGGTAGCACTTTTTGAGAAGGTCAATTTTAAGCAAAGACCTGAAGGAAGTGAAGGAGTGAGCCATATGTTGGCTAGTCCTTTCAGTACAATGTGAAGTTACTGGGATGATTCTGGCCATAGTGCCTTATTCTGTATTTCAGTGGGAATACTTTCTCAGTGTCTTTTGTGATGCCTGATGTGGGCTTCTTCAATTTCATGTCTTTCTATGGTAATTTCTTGCTTCTCCTTTTGTATTTTGCATATTTGCATTTCTTCCCATTCTCTTGATTAGGTTAGATGTGATTTATTGATTTTATTATTTACTTTTTACTTCAAAATTATTCGCTCTACTGTTTCCTGTGTTCTAGCTCCTTAATATCTACTTTTATCTCTATTTTTTTTTGTTTTGTCTGTTTTGTGGATCTTATTCCAATCATTCCAATTTTCCTATGAGCATTACTTTATCTTCCTTCCATGGTTTCTGAGATGTAGTATTGCATTATTGATATCTTTTGAAATTTTGCAAATTTGGTTTGTACCATTTGGTCAAATAGTTGTTCAAGAAAAGTTTTTTCTTTTTTTTAATCCCCTAAGGTAAGTGTCTGCTTACTTTTTGAAATTTTCCATTAATTTTTTACTTGATTGTATCATGACTAGAGAATATTGTCTACACTATTTCTACTTTTTGGAATTTATTGAAATTTTTTGTGCCTTAATATATAATTTATTTTTATGAATATCCATAGTCAATTGTAGAGAAGATATATTCTGTCTTTTCAGGATGAAGCAATTGATATAAATTAATCCATTTTCCTTATTAATTTTACTACATAGTTTTTCTGTGGATCCACTTGGTTTTCCATAAATTGAGACATGAACTAGATATCCTACTACTAGTGTGTTTTTATGTGTTTCTCCTCACTTGTTGTATAATTTCTGCTTTATATATATATAATTATATACACATTAATAATATTATATTATATATTATATTATAATAAATATATATATTGCTGTCATATTATTGCAGATATGTAGTCATCACTGCTCCAATCTTTATTGAGAATTACACTCATTATAGTTTAAAGCACCATTCCTTGTTTAATTTAATGCTTTTTGGCTTAAATTCCTCCTTTTCCTTACTAATATTGTGACATCTGATTTCTTTTCCTTTGTATTTGCCTAATATGCCTATGGCTATATTTTTATTTTCAACCTTTTAAGATGACTTTGTTTTAGTTGTGTCTTCACATATAGTTATGTGATTTGCATTTTTAGTCCAATTTGAAAAAAAGTTTTTTCTTAATAGTTGAGTTAATTTTTTTTTTTGAGCTTTCTTGAACTATCTTATTTCTGGCACTATTCAGTTATCATTTTGTTCCATTTAAGAAAGCAAACAACTTTTGTCAAGAGAAAAATAACATACAAAGTAAATCTTTACAAATTTTATTACAGATGATCTGGAGATATTTAGAAAATATACAAAGACTTTCTAAGCTCATTTATACTTACTGATATATGCAATATATGCTTTCTCTTAGTTCTATCTTATTTTGTATTTTTGTTTTTTAAAGGAAGTCTTTCACAAATAATTTGTTTTTATTTTTATTGTCCTCTATTTGTGATACTTAGGAAAGCTGTTCTTTTTTCTGGTAGTTATCTTTGTTTAAAAGCCCTTGACTTTTATTTATTTTTGGCAATATTTGTTTTCTTTCTTTCTTTTTTTTCCCTTTTTGTTTTTTTTTACTGACTGGTAACGGGATCGCAACCCTCAGTGTTGCACCCGCACCGCGCTCAGCTAGTGAGCGGGAACCGGTCTCCACATGGGATCTGAACCCTCGGCGGGAGAGCCGCCACGCTCCCAAGCGGCGCACTCTCCAGTGCGCCACCGGGCTGGCCCGGCAATATTTGTTTTCTAATAGATAAAATTGGTGTGCATAATCTTTCTCAAACTCCTTCATCTATCACCTAATTATATTCAATGCTGTGATCTGAGTGTTTCCCTAACATCAATATTACATAGGCTTAGATTTTTTTTTCATTTCTTCTGACAGCCTATCATAGGCTAATGCTGTAGTAGCTGTCAAAACTACCTGACAGTCTCCCTGGTGAGTCCTCTCTCATTCTGTGCAATGGCTCTTTCAAACCTCCTTAGGAAACTTCCAGCTCTGATATCTTCTCTGTTGATAAGGCAGACGGAAACTCCTAACCTTCCTGCCATAAAATCTACAGACCAACACATCTATACTTTCTCTTTCTTTCCTGTCAAAACAGAAGAAATGTCTTTCTTCCCATTTGTTATAAGTTGAATTGTGTCCCCCCAACCTTCCCAAATTCATACATTGAAGTCCTAACCCCCAGTACTTCAGAATGTGACATAATTTGGAAATAGGGTCACTGCAGATGTAATTAGTTAAGTTAGGATAAGGTCATACTGGAGTAGGGTGAGCTCCAACCCAATATGACTAGTGTCCTTATGAAAAGGAGACATTTGGTCACAGACAGTCATAGAGAGAAGAGACATAGGGAGAAGATGGCTACCTACGAGTCAAGAAGACCTGGAATCGATTCTACCTTCACAGCCATCAGAAAGAACCAACCCTGCAGAAACCTTGATTTCAGACTCCAAGCTTCCAGAGCTGTGAGAAAACACATTTCTGTTGTTGAAGCCTCCCATTTGTGGTATTTTGTAAGGGCAGCCCTAGAAAAGCATTCAGTGCTGACCCCTTCATCTGTGTCCTGGATTTTGTTCTTCCCTCTTCTGGAACCTTGTGGGATATTCCAATCCGTACTTTAGCATCTTCACCCTTATCTTTTCTTTCTCATCAACATAAAATATGGTCAACTCTCTCTGTTTTAAAAACTAAAAAACAGCTAAGTCAAATCAGATGAAGTGTCCTCACACATAAATAATGTCTTGTAACTAATGCCCCTTCCAAATCCTTTGTTATTTTTCTCTTCCGTGACACAAACAAACTCATGGAACAGTTGTCTGCACTCACAACTGCTTCACTTCTTTAATTCCTGCTCACCTTGTGACAGACCACTCAGCTTTCTGCCTCTAATTGTCCTCTGAAAATGCTCTTACTTCTAACAAACTCTCTTAAAGCATTTTTTTCTTTAGTGAAATGCTGTCTCGTTTGCTTATATGATACCAAGCCCTGACAGTTTTTCTTCCATTTGTCCTGCCATCTCTTCTTAGACTTTTTAAAAGACCCCTTTTCCTTTTGCTTATGGTTTAAGTTGTGGTGTTCTTCACATGTAGTTCTATCTCTCTCATTTCTTAGACTTTTAAAGATTCCTTTTCCTTTTGCTTATGGTTTAAGTTGTGGTGTTCTTCACATGTAGTTCTATCTCTCTCATTACTCTAATGCATTCTTTCTGAGTGATGTTATCATCTTTGATGGCATCTATAATGATGCACAAATCAAAAACTTTATCCCAGATTTGTCTCCTAAATCTCAGCCCTCTGTATTAAAATACCTCTTCATTGGCTCTCTTGACCATTCCAAAGACAAGACAAACCCAAAAAGGGCACCACAAAATGCATTTTCTTTCCCCTCGCTTCCATTTGCTGCTGACTGCGTCCAGCCTCAAAACCTGGTGTATCTTCTTGGACTCTCTGCTCTCCTCACCCCACACATAAAAGCGATTGCTAAGTCCTGGGGCTCACACCTTCTAAACACCTCACCTATCCATTTCTTCCTTCCAGGTGTACCGTCTTCTTCTTTGTTCCGGCACTGTCAATTCTCACCGAGGTTATAGCAGGGGCTCCCAAGTCTTCTCTTGCTACCTTTTAATCCAATCTATTCTCGACACAATTGCCAAACTCATCTTTCAAAATAAAAATCTAATAATTAACTG